TGCAGAGGCTGCTGAGCTCTTTGGGCTGGAAGTCAGCTTAAAGAAGACAGAAGTTCTCCATCAGCCTGCACCTCAGGAAGTCCCCCACCGTCCCCACATCACCATCGGCCAGTCAGAACTCAATTCAGTCCAACAGTTTAATTACCTAGGCAGCCTCATCTCCTCAGATGGTAAGATTGATGGGGAGATAGACAATAGGTTAGCGAAGGCATACAGTGCTTTTGGAAAACTCCATAAACGAGTTTGGCGTAATAAACACTTGAAGAAAAGTACCAAGATCAGTGTTTACAGAGCCATAGTGCTGTCTACTCTTTTATATGGTTCCGAATCATGGGTCATCTACCGCCACCACCTGCGTCTCCTAGAACGCTTCCATCAACGCTGCCTCCGTACAATCCTTAACATCCATTGGTCAGACTATGTGACCAATACATCTGTTCTCGAACAGGCAGCAATCACGAGTATTGAGGCCATGCTCCTGAGAACGCAACTGCGTTGGGCAGGGCACATCTCTAGGATGAAGGACCACCGCCTCCCTAAGATCCTGCTCTATGGTGAACTTGCCACTGGCTGCCGCAAGAGAGGAGCTCCAAAGAAAAGATACAAGGACTCCCTGAAGCAACAACTCAGCCTCGGGCATATTGATCACCATAACTGGTCCACTCTGGCCTCTAATCGGGAGGCCTGGAGACAGACCATTTATAACGCTGCTGATGCTTTTGAGAAGGCACGCAGGATCACTCTTGAGGAGAAAAGACAACGCAGAAAGAATCGAACCTTGCAGAATATACCATCTAAGGAGTCTTTCTGCTGTGTCTTTTGCAACCGGACTTGCCTTTCTCGTATTGGCCTTTTTAGCCACCAACGCGCTTGCATGAAAAATGGGTAGAGCCCTTCCCAAATCTTCGTTCGCGAAGCCTAGCCATGATTTTAAATGGTTCTCATTTAGCCATCCACCTCAATGAGAGGGCTTGGAGAAGCAAAACAAAGGCCCATCCCTGTATTTGCTTCACTTTTCACATACCAAACTTGTGTAGCTTCTTAGATTAACGAGCCCACATACATAACTCTCCAGAAATCCCCTTTCAGAAGACAAGTGTCCAAAGGCAAAGTTATTCCTGATGTATTTCAAATGTGACAAAAACAAAAAGCTACTTTCAGGTTTAACCTTTGTCTGACAAGGTACTAACCGTTACCTCAGCAATTATACCTCACCCCCTAAACCAGTGTATGGCCCATGCCCCACTGTGCCAGCTTTCCCTGCTGTCCTGAAGACAATTCTTCCTGTTTTGTGCTTGTATGTTAAGCAGTTAAAAAGCTTTATCTTTAACAAGATATTAATCTTAATATTGTCTTAATATGTTCCGTCTTTTCCTGCCTCTCATGCAGAAATCGGTCTTGACAATAGCCACTGAGATAAGGACAGTAACCAGCAAGCTTCACAATAAGCCATCATATACACTATTTTAGTTTGTCAAAACAATTAGTGTTCATTTTGGCTTTATTCAGTTAAATCTGCAGTGACTGATCAGTATAAATTATGTATTAGGCTGCCCAGCTGTACTTGTTTATTCATGCATGGACTTGAAGAATTTTCATTTTCTCAGTACAAAAAAGCAACAGCCAAAAAAATCCCCCCGTATTCCAAAATATAAAGACACTTTCTTCTCAGCCACATTTCTGCTACATGTTTTTGAAGCTGCTTTCTTCTTACTCTGCTTATTTCAATTAACCTATTATTTCATTTGCAGTTATCGGCAGCTGCATTTGCATCGGTAGTAAGCACATACTGTTACTTTCACCCTTTGCAATTACCTCCCAAGCAAAGCAATATCAGAGCTAAACCAAATGATGTTGATTTTAAAAGCATCAAAAATCGCATTGTTGGCTGCATTTGAACTCCTGCCTCGCTTCAAGAAGAACTGCTTGCAGAAATGTTTACACTTCAGCCTCACAGTCCTCTCTTTCAAGAACAAAAGTTTGTGAATCAAGAGAGATCATTTTCTGGTGTTGTTCGTGTTTATAGTCACACAGTCCTCACTAGGATGACTGGGTGAAAGCAATGCATGTCGTGGGGGTGGGATGATACGCTTGTATGCAGGGAGAGAGATGACACAGATTTAGAGAAAGGAAAGAAAAATCTGCAGTGACCATGTACAGCATCAGTTACGCTTCTCCGAGACATGGTGTATGAGCAGAATTGAAATCAGGCTGTTGAAGCTGATTTCCGGTGATTAAATATTGGCAAATTGCACACTCCAAATCAAAGGCACCCTCTGCAAAGCCAAGTTCAAGAACTTGTTAACAGAAGGTTTATGCCAATATTTACAAATCACAGAAAGATGTTTTGGCAGCTTTGACACACAGAGTACAGTTGCTCGGTGATGGACAAGCAGGGTGAATGGTGGCAGTGCTCAGAAGAACACAAAGAGCCAGAGTTTGTGCCCTCCTGAAGAGCTGGGGAGCACAGCAGAACTTGTATTTGTTAATGGGAACGCCATTCAACCTCCTAGACTGTAAGGGGAATCAAAGGAGCCACCTGGGTGGCTCTTGGGCATGTCTAGAAAAAAGTATGCTACTGAAATACCTCCATGGGGCAGAGTGCTCTAAGTGGAGAGAGCTGGGTTGGAAAAGGCCATCTCCCAAAGCTGGGCTCAGCTACAACGTACCTGACAGGTAACAGAATAGCTTTCAGGTTGATTGTGCACGATAAAGATTGGCAAGCTCAATGTTTGCACTGATCTGCAATATCTCTGTTATAAAAGTGCTTTTGCACAGCGAATTCTGCCCTGTTTTTGGTGGCCACTGAGCTCATCGCTTCAGTGAGGAGCCCGGAGCCCTGCATACAACCTGCCAGCACAAACAGTGCCAGCGACAGCTCCCCTGGGCTGTGAGCACAGGCAGGATGAGCACACAGCTACCCTGTTGTTTCTTCCATCAAATAACATAAGGAATGTTCTTGTGAAAATACTAAATTTTGCTGAATTAAGTGCTTTAGAACAAGTGGTTTTATTACTTTATAATTAGCATAATTTCCCCCATAGGGATTCTTGCAATTAAATAATTAGCAGTAATGTTACCCAAAGGTGTTCTTTAATGAATTTTCTTAAGTTACTGCCCCCGCTAACAACAACTGACACGGCTCGGGTTTACAGCGCTTGAGCGCTCCGTCCTGCCAGGCTGCGGGCGACGTCAGAGGGCTGTCACAGGCGGCCCTGAGCTCCGGACCGCTCTGCTCACCCCGGAGGGGCGGACACGACTCCGGCGCCCCGCGGGCAGCTCCGGGCTCCCCGTGACCCCGACGGTGCGGGCAGCACGCTCCGCTCCCGTGCTGACCGCGGAGAAGCCCCGCGAGTACCCAACTCCGACAAGGGCCGCTGTGGCAGGGCACGGCGCGGGTCCGCCCACCGGCTCCCGGCGATGGGGGGGACAGGGGCCGCCCAGGTCGGGGCGCGGAGCGGAGCGGCTCCCGGGCCGGGCCGGGCCGGGCCCGCCGCGCATCGCTCGCGGACCGGCAGCGCCACCCGTCGGGGAGCGGGGCGGCGGCGGAGCGGAGCCGCTCCGGCGGGGCGGGCACGGGCACGGCGGGGGGGCTGCCCGCCGCCTCCGTGGGACGCGGCCCCGCCGTGTTCGGGGCATGCCGGGCCGCCCCGGGCCGGCGAAAGTTGTGAGGTTTTTTTCTTGGTTTTCTTTTTCTTCATGAACTGCCACTGGCAGGGCATCGGCGGCCGACCCGGGAGCGCCGCGGCAGCCCCCGGCTCGGGGTGGGGGTGGGTGGGGGAGAATTCCCCGTTTACCTCCCGGCGATCTCGCCTCAAAGGCAAATTCGCAATATGTAAGTCGCTGGTTAAACAAGGGCATTTCCAGTTGTTAATTGATGCAATTACGCCGTGGCGGTAACGGGCCGGTCGGGCTGCAGGCAGCCAGCCATCCATCACCGCCCCGCTGACCTGCCACCGCCCCGGCCCCCCCCGCTCCCGGAGGGACCATCACGGAGCTAAGGGAGAAGAAGGGATGCCCCGCTCAGCACTCCTTCTGGAAGTGGGCTTCGGCTTTCTGTCCCGGCGCCAGCCGTGCCCCTGCCCAGGCAGGCAGCGAGGTCTGCCCCGCTCCCGTGGCTCCGGGCCGCCGCGACGGGCAGGGCAGCCAAGGCGGGGAGCACGGCTCAGCGGCTCCCATGCAGAACCGGGGCCGTGTCGTACAGCAGCGCCCGGCCCTGGGGATGGGCAGGGGGCAGCGGGAAGGGCCGGGGATGCTGCGCCGGCCGGGCCAGCCCTGAGAGCTCCTGCCCCTGGTGCGCCCAGGAGAAAGTGACCCCGGCCCGGCGCTCGTCCTCCCCGTGGCGGGCCTGGGGCAGGGGCCGCGCTGGGGCTGGTGGGTGCCGCGATGTCCCCACTTGACGTTTATTCCCCTAAAACAAATGTGGATTGCGTTTAAAAAAAGAGAGAAAGGGAAAAGAGACCAACCGCAAGGCACCCCCACTCCCGCTTTGACGTGCATCACAGCACAACATTAAACCAACATGGAACAAGTGGTGAGAGCGGGCGCGGGGCGCTGCCTGCTCCTGCCCGCCGCTGCCTGCTGCTGCCGGCAGGGCCGTGACGTCACCCCGCTCCTCGCCCACCGATGAACGCTAAAGACCTATAGAGCAGAAAATAATACAACAAGCAAGCTCCGTATCTTGCAAGCCCTACGTGATTTTCCCCCCCTCTTTGAAAAAGCCCCTTTGCACTTAAACTCTCTATACATGTGGGGTGGCTTTTTAAACTCCCTCTATACAAACATATCTATTAAGAGCGATGGGAAGTGGGGGGTAGCCTATTTTTTTAATCCAGGCACCAACCTCCCCCCCCCACCGCCTCAGATGTCTGGCTGCTTTTCTTAAGTGCAATCATCTATAATTGAGAAAAAAAAAAGCCATACGTGGAAATGTGTGTGTGAGAAGGTGCATCTTGAAGCAGGGTTTAGTTACAATCGATCTTGGGGGGAAAATATTGCCTATGGTCCAAAAATAAGGAGCAACTATGTCCTTCTCTCAGTTCGGATACCCCTACAGCACCACTTCACAGGTAAGGCGAGTGAGCAGCACTCACTTTTGTTTAGATTCTGCTGCTGCTGTCCAGATGTCTTGTCCCCCCCCTCCCTTTTTTTCTTCCCTTTCCCTTACTTAGAATATTTTTTTAAAAGGGCACATCTGGAGCCTTTTTTTAAAAAATGTGCGTGTGTGTTTATGTCTCGTTTGTGTTGTGTTAGGCTTAAAACAAATAACTCGCAGTGTGCACAGCAAAGGCGTGTAGGAAACCGGTAATTCCCCCTCCTCCCCACCCTCCACCGTTCAGTTTTAAGTGCAACAAACAAATAAAAAACATAAATCCCGGCTACGGCCGCTTTCCGAGCCCGCGGAGCTGTCCCGCGGAGCGGCCGCGCTGTGCCGGGCGCTGCCCCCGCCGCGCCGCTGCCGCCCGGGCACCGCGGAGGGTGTGCGGGCAGCGGGAACCGGCGCTCGGGGCTTCATTGGCGTTTCTGCGGAACCGGGCTGTGCCGTTTCCTCCCCCCTTCCTCCACGGGTCGGTCCTTTTCCTGTTTTTTATTAGGATCTGTACAGAGATTTTTTTTTTTTACCCCCCCATGCGATTTCCCAAGGACACCCCCCACTCACACCAAGGCACCCTGTATTAACTAAGTCGTCGCTATAGCGTACCTCGAGTCACGATTTATTTGGGTAGAATTATTTATACACCGTAATCACTGCAAGATGTGCCTCTTTCGCTTGGGAAGTTAGCTGTCCCCTTGAAGTTATTGAAATCAAATGCATTCGATTGCGTTAGCTGACATATTTACTGCTGTGTCTATTGTCGAATTAACTGTAATCGCAACTTTTTGCCTTTAAATCAATGCAGATGGACCGAGCGGGGGCGGGAAGGATGGAGCCGTACAGATCTCATGCCTTTTTCCAGAGCAATTATTTCCTTAAAGTTTTGCCTGCTTGATTAATCGTGCCCCCTTCCCAAGGGTTTCCTGCTTCCCATTCGGTTTATTTCCCGGTTTCTATAATTAGTTGCTTCAGCCCGTGTTTCCTATCCCCCTCCTTACCCCCCCCCCCCCCTCCGCACACACACACAGGCACGCACACGCTCCTAAATTCCCCCCGATGGGGCTGCCTCGACAGTCACTCGGCGCCGTCCCGCTCTCTCCTCTCCTCTCCGCAGTTTTTCGTGCCCGCCAGCCCCAGCACGACCTGCTGCGAGGCCGCCCCTCGCTCCGGGCCGGATGCCTCCTCGGCGCCGGCCGCCGCCTCCCTGTGCTGCGCCCCGTACGAGGGCCGGCTGCTGGCGCCCGGCCGCGCCGAGCTCAATGCGGCGCTGGGCATGTACGGAGCCCCGTACGCCGCCGGCCAGGGCTACGGCAACTACCTGCCCTACAGCACCGAGCCCGCCGCGCTCTACACCGCGCTGGTGAGTGCCCGCCCGCCCGGAGGGGAGAGGGGGGTGCAACAGGCGGGAAACTTCGTGTTTCGCAGCCGGTCTCGGGGCGGGGGGGCCCGCCGAGGGACGCGGGAGCGGGGCCGGCCCGTGGCGGGTGGGGGGGCGCGAAGGGACTGGGCTGCCGCGGGGAGCTGGGACTGCGGGGCGCCGTGCGGTTCCCCCTCCTGCTCGACGCCAAACGCGGCCGCTTTCCCTTGCAGAACCCCCAGTATGAAATCAAGGACGGCGCCGGCACGTTGCACTCGGGAATCGCGCAGCCCGCTGCCTACTACTCCTACGATCATTCCTTGGGGCAGTACCAGTACGACAGGTAAAACCCCTTTGATCAGTGCCCGGCAGCATTAGCATCCCCCTGCGAGGCGGCGGCCGACATCAAACGGCGGGGGCCGGCGGGGGCTCCGACCTGACAAACGTTGTACAAAAGAAACGAGGCGCCCCGGGAGCAGCAGTCAGCTGAAATCAAACTTGGGAGGCGATGGCAGGAGGGCAGGGGCAGGCAGGCAGATGGGAAGGGGCCACACCGGCCTGTGGCTGGGCCGGGCTGGGCCAGAGGGCTCATGCTGGGCTCCCGCCGGCCCCCCCCCTCCGTAATCATCTCCCAGCAGGTACGGGACGGTGGATTTCGGTGGTTCGGCCAGACGCAAGAATGCAACGCGAGAGACGACAAGCACCCTCAAGACCTGGCTGTACGAGCACCGCAAAAACCCCTACCCCACCAAAGGAGAGAAAATCATGCTGGCCATCATCACCAAAATGACCCTGACCCAAGTGTCTACTTGGTTTGCTAACGCCAGACGGAGGCTCAAGAAAGAAAACAAAATGACCTGGTCTCCCAAGAACAAAGCGGGGGAAGAAAGGAAAGAAGAAACCCCGCGGGAAGAGGATGAATACAGCGTAGAGGACGAATGCAGAGGTAGGGGGAGAGGCAGGACGGGCGCCTCGAAGGAGCTCGAAGTGACGGCCAATTTCCAGGCCCCCCAACTTCCCCGCACCCGCACTAATGCTCTGCCGCCCCCCTTCTTCCCCGTGTGTGTCCAAGCAGAGCAGAAGAGCTACAAGGAGGACAAGGAGCTGCGGTTCAGCGACCTGGAGGAGGAGGAAGAGGAGGAGGAGGAGGCGGGGAAGCCGGAGAAGGGCCGGGCCAGCTCCCTGCAGGAAGCCCCCAGCCTGGGCGCGGCGCTGCCCGAGGCTCCTCGAAGCGACTGCAGCCTGCCCGGCCCCTTCCACGCCTTTCCCTGCGCCAAGGCCCCCGCCGCGGACTTCGCCCCTGCCTCCCTGGCCGGCCCGCCGCCGCCCTACGCGCCCGCGGAAAAGCCGCGCATCTGGTCGCTGGCGCGCACGGCCGGGGCCAGCGCGGCGCGCAGGGGCAGCCCCGAGGGCCGCGGCGCGGAGGGAGGCGGCGGCTCGGCGGCGGAGCAGCCCCTGCCCGCCAAGGCCTTCCGGAGCTCCGCGTTCAACCTGCAGCCGCTCCCGCGGAGCTGCGCGTCCCACCGCGGCCTGGGGGAGCCGTGCCAGTTCGCGGCGGCGGGCGAAGGTACCCGCGGCGGCGGGGCCGCGGGGACGGGCGGGACCGTGGGCCGGGCTGGGGCGCAGGGCACGGCGTGAGCCCGCCCGCGCACTGACACTCCTGGCGCTCGGCCGTGCCCAGGTGTCAGGTGCGGACGCCGAGGCTTCTCCGCTCGAGGCGAGAGGGCAGGGGAGGGCGGCGGGGCCGGGCCGGGCCCACCGCGAGCCGCTTGTGTCTGTGCAGGCTTCGGGCGGGGCGCCAAGGGCGGCCCGGGAGGTGCCGAGCTGGGCGGGACCTGCCTGGACAGGCTGCGGACGGCGTTCCGGCCGGTGCTGCGGAGGTGAGGTAGGTGACTGGCCGGCAGCCGGGGCCCCACCTCGCACGAAGCGCAAGCCCACCCACTCGGCCCCGGGACACCGGAGCGGCCGGGGCCGCTCCTGGAGCTCCCGTCCGGCCGGGGCTGCAACACCCGGCCCCGGACGCAGCCACTTAATCACCAGCTTATCACCGCTTCTCCGTCCCGCAGGGCCGCCCGCCCCTTCCTGGACGCTGGCGACGGGGCTCCGGCTGCAGCGAGGCACTCGGCTTGAAGCAACGAAAGACGCCTCTCCCCGGGCCGGCGGTGGCCTCGCGGCTCCGCCTGCCCTGCCCTCGCCAGGGAAGGGCCGCCGCGGCACAACGTGCTGCGCACATGGGACCGAGGGGCACGGCGGGCGGGGCTGCGGGCGGAGCGGCCGCAGGACCGGCGCCTCCCCGCCGCACGCTTGCCATGTGTTCAACGCCCCGCTAACGTCTTGGCAAAAAGAAAAAAAAAATGCAAACCCTAATCTTTTCTCTTTCCTCCCCCACGTCGTGGTTTGTTTCTCTTCTTTCTCCCAAACCTGCGGGCTCCGCTCAGCGCCCACCTTCGCCAAGGCGCGTCAGTCCGCGGTCGCTCCGCGCCGTCCCGGGACGGAGGAGGAGGAGGAGGAGGAGAAGCGGCGCAGGTTACGCCGGACTGTTTCTTTCCCGTCTCTGTACATAGATACAGCTGAAAAGTATTTTTCGGAATCTCTAATTAACACGGATGAGCTGAACGCCGCGAAGCCGTCAGTGACCCCGGAGCTCTCCAGCCAGGAGCCGGCACAGCCCGGGCGGAGCGGCCACGGGCACCCGCCGCCCGCCCTGGGGCACGGCCGGGGCACCCCCGGGCAGCGGGTGGCGACCGGGCGGCGAAGTAGGACGTTGTTAGTGGGTCACCGCCGTCAGTCAGTCAAAAGAGCAGTGCTGCACTTTACAGGACAGACGAGAAAGGGAAACCGTATCTCTGCATTATTTCTGTTTAATTAAAAGTGTCATCAAACACTTTGTGTTCAGACTAATAAACCAAGCAGGGATGAGGAAAGAATGTTTCTTTGTTCCTGTCTCTGGAAGCAGTGGCAATAATTTAAATTAATAACTGTGGTAATTAAGAGGTCATCTATAGATCAACCCGATACCTGCTATTTCCAAGTTCACCGGGGTCAGCATTTACATTAAGTCATTTGTGGTCAATAGAGTCCAATGAATTCTGCCTTAATAAATCAGGGAAATCAATCTTGAATATCGAGTAGACTTCTATATGTTTACCAAAGGCTACTCAAGACAAGTGGGGCTGCAGAGCTGGGAGTCCTCTGGGTTTGCGACCGGAGAAGCAGTTCTTAGGGGGAGGGAGGAACTGTAGGTCAACGCAGGAGAGAGGTGGCGGGGCTGTCCCCGGCTTCGGCCCCGGGAACAGCCCCGGTCCCTCCCAGGAGTGGAGCAATCCCGGCTGCGGGGACACCTGTCAAAGAAGGCAAACTGATGGGTTTTGGAGGGGCCGGGGGGGAAAGGGAGGGGGGGGTAGGTGTACGCGGCGGCAGCAGGTAACAGAGTGGCCGGGAGCGGGGCTGGGCCCGTCGGGAGCCCAGCCGGAGGCGCTCGGCCACGGGGCTTTCCCGTACACCGGAGCAGTCCTGGGCAAGCGACGGCGCAGCAGCCGCAGTCTGTTGCAGTGACCCGGAGCTTAGAGAAGGGGAAATTAAGCTGCGAAAAGATAAACATTATTTCAAGTCGGCTTTGAAGGATTAGGGCTTGTAATAAAGAGTATTAGGCCCTTTCGAAGGGTTCTTGCAAGGCGACTTTCTCCGCCCCTCCTCTCCCACCGGAGGGGACAGGTATTATCTGCCCTGGGAACACAACGCAGGTTCCCATCACGTGCCCGCAGTGGCCGGGCCTCCCTCCCGTCTCTGTCCCGGTCGCCTCCGCCCATCGTGCAGGGGAGCGACCTGGCTCCCTCCGGTTTCCTTTGCCCGGCGGCTTTGGAAGATGCTCTCCAGGGAGTCAGCTCTGCATCGGCCTCCTGAGCTGTTCACGGGAGAAGAAACCTGCACGGCCCCCGCGACCTGGGGGCGGCCAGGAGCTCCCCCGAGCTGAATACTCTGCCCCCCCGCCCTTGAATCCCCCGGTCCTAACGGCAAGATCCGAAGGAAGTGTGAAGTCCTCAGGGGTGATTAATTAGGCGGGTGCAAGCTTCGGGGTCTTTTTAAGGCAGGCACGAGGGTAATCTCCAGGAGTCTTACGACTTTTTTTTATTTATTACTTTTACTCCCCTTTCATTAAAGGTCAAGTGAGCGAGATGCAGATTATCCTGCCCGCCCAGGACTCCTCTGCAATCTGTCACGCCGGCAAGATATGTATCGCAAATCTCTCAAAATATAATCTCCGGGAATCATATTTCGAATACTGTTTTGATTAAAAACCAGAGTGGGGATTGATGGAGAACTAATACCGGGAGCGGAGCCTGCGTGCGCCCAGGCACAAAACTAAAATAACGGACTCGCACGAACAAATTCAGCGCCTCCAATGCCGTAATAAACGTGTTTAAGCCGTCTCCGGCTGAGCTTTGCTACGAGCTGGGCTTTTTAACGCGGCAGCTCTGGGAAGTGAACTCGGGTTGTCCTCCGCAGCGGGGGCAGTGGGGCTGTGCTGGGGCACTCGGAGTGTGCTCCTGCGGGGCGGCTCGAGGAGATGGGGCCGGAGGGGAGCGCCCTCGGCCCGGCCCGCCTCGGCCCTCCCCGTCGAGGCACAAACCGGGCGCGCAAGGTGTAGACCCCGCGAAGCCGAGGGACCGCCGCAGCGCAGCGCACACACCCCCCACCCCCGCAGGGCACCCCACTTGGCTCTGGAGGGACGGGTGTCCCCCTTTCCCGCAGCCCGCCGGGACGCGCTGGCACCGGCCGCAGCCCCGCATCGCCCCCCAATTAGCGGCCGAGGGGGCGGGCGGGGGCGGCTCGTTGACGCGTCCCCCGCTGGGGTGGGAAGTTTCTAAAACAAAGTCGCCGGGCTAATGGCCCCGGGCGGGAGCGGCGGGGCCGCGCACACTCCACTGCGCCCGCTCAAAGGCAGCGCGACCGCGGGGCCGCCGCCGCCTCCGCCGCGCTCGCTAATGAAGTTTTGTCAAAGACAATTACGGGCCCGGCGGGGGCAGGAGGCCGCGATGAAAAGGCGCCTTTGTGCGGCCGAGACGGCGCGGCTCCCCGGCCACCCCCGGCCCTTCCTGCGCCCCCGCGGTGACCCCCGCGCCCGGCCCCGCTCCCCGCGGGGACAGCGGCCCCGGTGCCCGGCCCCCAGGTAAGCGCAGCGACGGGCTGGTGCCGGCAATGAGCCTCCCGGAGCGGGAGTTTATCAGCCCGATCCGCGGACGACCGAAGCAACCCCCGAAAATTGGGGGCTGAGCCCCTGCTCGCCTCTCACACTCCTGGCTGAGGGTTTCTACTGTCTCTTCCCACCTCAGACGGGCTGCTGCGACGGATTCCTGCTTCAATGCTGTTGCATTCAGTAAATGGGAGAATTAATCCAAAAACTGACCATCGAGCTGGCTAAATCTGTTTATATATACAACAGGAAAACATGAAATTGGGTTCTTGGACTGTGGCTGCCTTCAGCTGCATCTGGGTGGAGAGGATGTGTGGAAGAACAGGTCAATAACCATCTTTCACCACCTTCCCCGAGATCCCAGCACTGCTGTTGTCCTCCATCTGTGGTCCTTGGTCACCTCCTCCCAGCATCTCACCTCTCTGCCATCCCCAGCCAACCTGGGCAGCACAAAACATGCTGGTGCTCTCCTAGAGAGCACAGGGAACCATTCGTGGGTCATGAGAAGGTCTGGACAACAAAAGTAACCAGCCAGATTGGTGCTTCCCAGCCTTTTGAAGAACAATCCTTCCTTTAGGAACATAGGAGAGAGGAAACCTTCCTTTATTCCTGCACAAGCACATGAGGACAGTGGCCCTGACACTGAAATGGTCTGGGCCCCCTCACTTCCAGCTGGCTGGTATTTGCCCGTGCCCTCAAATGGATGTCCTGTCCCCCTACAGGTTTCCCATCCCACAACAAAGGGATGAATTTTACTGGCTTTGCAGCAGCAAAACCCTCGGAGATCCCTCCTCAAAGATGTCTACAGCAGAAGTTTTAGCATGATGTGGCCATTGGGGTTATGGAGCAGTGGATTGGAGCAATTAGTTCAGAATGATCTCAAAAGCTGCACAAGCAGCTCCCCAGGCCAGGTGTCATTTCAGGATCAAAGCATCTGTTAGAGGAAAATCATTTTTGCCATTGTATTGCTTTTTTTTTTTTACCTACTGTTCATCTGAAAATAAATTACAGGCCAGAACAGGTGGATAACATTCTGGAATGATTTAATGATTTATTTAATCTGGATTCTCTTTCAATCTACTTAGAAGGATGAATACTTTTTTTTAGCCTGAATCCAAAAGCCTGGCTTTTCATCTAAAGAAGAGAAAATACCCTAAACCACTGCTCTGCTGCTGTCAAGGTGTACTCCCCACCACCGTTAATAATCCGGTGGTAATGTCTGCCCTCCGAAGAGCCTGAGGGGAAAACCTCAAGAAAACTGACCAGAAGATTTAGGGTTTTTTTTCTTTCTTGCCCTCTTCCTAGTGCTCTAGATATTACTTCACTTCCTGGGACAGTGTCTGGGTAATAAAATAACTGATTGTAGTGTTCAATCACTACCCCTTAAATCTTAGTGTGTGTAGGTTTAAGAACTGAGATGACCACTCTCTGACTTTCCCTCCTGTTAGGAAGCTTTGTGTTCCACTGATTGGGAGTGGAGCGGGAATGGACATACATTGGAATCTCCTGCTGCAGACACCTATGGATCCACTGACACCAAGTGAGGCCAGCAGCAATTCCCTCAGGCATGTTCACACAAGGCTGGTATGCTGTTCCTCAGCGAGCAGTTCCTAACACAAGACCTTCCTTCTTGACTAGATATGGTTTTGCTACAGAGGGATTAGCAAAATCTTTGCCCACTTACTCAGATGTGAATTTCTGATGCTTGATTTCAGCTAGAATAAGATGTTTTATGGGAAAGATACTTTCAGAACCTATAAAAATGCTGAAATTGATGAACTAACTCCCTGGATGGCTGGGTTTGGTATTTTAGTCCCACTAGAGTGGTAATGCAGATGTGCAGAGTGACAAAACGCTTTCAGATACAGTGAAGGTTACAGGATATGCAAGGGGCTGTAGTTACCATTGCCAGGACTTTTCCACCTCATATGCCTGTCCACTTTAATGGTTTAAATTAAGGTCTTAAACTTGCTTTAATCCACCAGACTCCGTATGTGCACCAGCAGAACCATACTTTTTTGTTGTTTCGTTCTGGGGTTTTTCTGGTCGGTTGTTTTGAGGGTGTTTTTTTTGTTTGTTTGCTTTGATTTTTTTATGTTTTTTTAGCCCACCCTAAGTGTGACTTTGCTAGTAGGCAAGCCCTGAGTTCATGCTATGGCACCAGGTCATTCATGGTGAGGGGTGTTTGGAAGAATTTCTGCATTACCAGACAAGACAGCCAGGTTGGTGAACCTGCCAGCCCACACCCCCGACTGCTTGAACTGGCAGAAAAGGGACTTGGCACGATTGCCTGTCAACCCTCCCAGTGAAGGGCAGGTACTCAGAGAGATACATGGGCCCTTCAAAAAACCCAGCCCACACAAACTGGCCTGCAGTGTGAATGTGACACATATGAAAGCTAACTACAGTTTTTAACCAAAAATATAACCTCCACTTGACCAGGATGATTCATTCAAGTGGATTCACTTCCAAATTTTAAATGCAAGACATCATCAATGTACATCTAAGAGACACCCTCCACAGCCATCTGCTTAATGGAACATCTGAAATGTATTGAATAGCTAAGAGACAAACAGTGATGGGAGCTCCCAGTTGCCACAACTGGTCCCACTGTCACTCACTACACAGAACAGAAAAATCAAGTATCCACGTCACTGTGCTCAGGTTTTCTCTGTGCAAACCACCTGAGGTGCAGTGCTAAGTAAGGTTTGGTGCAAGAGGCAACGGACAACA